GCTTGCAACCCCTTCTTTGGCTTTCCGTTCGTTTCATATGCGGAAGCAACAGAATCTTTGAATTGCCTGTAAATATTGCTTTTCACCTCGCCCGGCAAGTTTATCCACCTGTCTGGTTGAACTTCCATTTCAGCCTCTTTACTTGGGAAAGACGGTTCGAAAGTCCCAGGGCCAATTGCAATGTCAAGAATTGTGGTTAAAGCAGCTAGATTGGCGAAGTTAAACGGCTCCTTGTCTTCCGCTCGATGTTCATTAACCTTGAACCGTTCACCCTTTAATTGCGAACTGATTTTCTGTAGGTTGATAAGCTCGGTGTCTGGTTTGTCGAGTAGCGAGCTATCTCTGAATAGAAATGCAGATGCTAGACGGCACCTGAATAGGGCAATTTCTGGGAATACTGGGGGTATGTGCTTGAGGAGAAGGCACTGGAGAGTTGTATCTTTGACAGTTTGGTATGCGTGTGCTGCTAGCTCATGGACCTACCACGAGTTAATTATCAAACAGTAAAAGTAAAGTAGCGGGAATAACCTACGTTTAGACCTGGTGAGGCAGCATTTGATTCGCTGAACAAGGAAGCAATTGCTTGCTGTGCCTCCGCACAAATGGCACCATCATTCATAACAACTTCGTCAAGGACTAGGCGGAAGAGGATTTTCAAAGTATGCTCACGTGTAAGAGCGTTGAACCTGTATACATATATTCATTTAGCAGGCGGACAAGGACCAAAAGTGTTGTACTCACTTTTTAGCCAAATTAGAAACAAGAGTTAAAACAGATAAAAGGGACCTGTTGTTTAATGGAGGTGATGGTTCTGTAACATTCATTAGAAGATTAACACTCGCAATGCTATTGGAATACTCACCCTCTTCATCAAAATTGCGAGTATCTGGTTGTACGAGCTCTGAAATGGCAAGCGCGCTACTATTCGCCCCAAGCGTCACGAATAGTTGATCTATATGCGACGGTTGGATGAGGGAAGCTATTCGGGATTCAGGGCAAATCTAGGGTTACTTAGTTACTCCCGTTATATATACAGTATTCCATTTTCAAGACCAGCAAACCTGAAGAGCCGTTGTGTAGGCAAACCGAAGCTCATCTCGTGGTTCCGTTGCGACTGGCTGCTGGTTAGCAAGGCACAGAGTGGTTATAATTCTCGTCTTCCGGGAGAACAAACCTGAGTGTATTATCCAGAGTAAAATGTCATCTGGCAAAGGGACATAGTTGAGAATCTCTCCAACTACCCCAGAAAGAAAAGCCCTCTCACGAGAAGCAGGTTCTATTGGATTTTTCTTTCTCAGTAAGACGGCTATTAAAGAGATAGTAGATCATCTCTCACCTCTGAGAACTGCCTCCCAGGATCCAAGGTCAATCAATTCTCCAGGAAAATCCGGAACAATGGCCTTTGGTGGGTCGTCACGAAAGAAAGACCAACCTGTGCCCTGCTGCAAAGCCTCCGTTCGCATGACTGCATCTTTTAGCCGTTGAATAGCTACTGGATCCGAGTTATCTGAAACCAAGGAGGCATATATATCATCCCGATCCGAGGGATGTTTGTCCTTGACTTTGTTCTTGCCAATAGATTCACGGATAAAGACCTTTGCAGCCGATACCTGGGCCTCGCGCTCCTTATCCTGCATGGCATCTGCAACTAGGTCATCTAGAGAGAACTTATGTTTTGTACCAGCTGCTGTTTGGCCATGGGCCTTTGAGGCCTTCCCACCTTTGGAGGCAGACGTATCTGTGTCTGGGTCTTCCTTCCGACCAGAAGAGCCCAGGAACCGAGCCAGCAATTCATCTGCAGATAGAGTAGCAGAATTAATTGAATAATCATCGTCGTCATCAGAAGCTGTTATCATGATCTGCCCGTCTTTCAGCACCCTCTGCGAGCCAGGAATACTGACGAACGACGAGGAGCCCCCGGGTTCATCCATCACTGGAGTTGACTGGATGGTTTGAGAACTGCCAGCATTTCTGGAGCGGTCTTCTAATATTACCTGCTGCTGTCTGGGTTCTCGGATCGGAGAGGTGAACAGGACTGAGGAGAGGTCTGGCGGGCAAGAAGTCAGTGGTGACGATGGGCCATCTTTGCTACTTGGCCGTTTAACACCAGCTACGGGGCGAGTCTCTGCTGGCTCCGCTCGCTTGAAGTAAGAGGATATCTTGCGATTATCTACCATCATAGATTTGCTTGTTTTATATTGGTTTTTTTTAACGTGTTGAACGCTTGACGCGCCTTCGTTTGAGGCGTCACGTGGTCATCAGTTTCTGGACCTTGTTTAGTCGATTTTGTGAGAGTCTCTTCTATGGCGATGGTGACGACGGTTGACGATGTTCATTCCTCTCGACATTGGTGCTAAGTGTATAAAGAAAGTCTTATGTTTTAACAGTCCAAGGTCCCCCTGATTGGAGACTTCATGCTCAGGCGGTTTGTATCTACCCTTGGCTATTAAGAAGTATTCTAATATATAAATAGGGAAGAATGGAATATCAAGGATTACTGTTCCACGGGCTGGTCGCAAGTAAAGAAACAGCAGACGAGTTCATCTTGAGAAGGCTGCCTCAAGATAGAACATACCCTCTGCTTGATATATATCTATTACGTTGCGCAATTGGTGGCTCCACCTTCAAGCCAATAAACCGCAGCTATCTCAAATTCCAAGGCTTGCCAACCCCATACACCCATCATAAGGGTAGGGCTGAATGGAATGTTTCAGAGTGAAGAATGGATTGTTTGGGGCTGTCTGGTCATGGGCGGATGAGACGAAACCAGTACGGTCTTCGTCGGATGGATGTCTCTATTGGTGTTCTCTTGACAAATCCGGTATGTCAGAGAAGGCAGGCCGGGTGGCCATATAACTAACTCCCCGCATGGCCCATATCCAGAGCCAGCAGCACGATAAAGGGCGACGCGTCCGTAAAATTATAATGTCCGGAGAAGAATGGGGCCCGGCGTATATATATAGGGCGAACGTCATAGCCAAGTGACAACACGGGTAAGAAAATAACCCGAACCGCCTCAACCGTCAGGGACAAGAACGGAGCGGCTTTCGGACTCGGAGAGCAGCAACCTGGTGATCCATATGTACATGAGATACGAGGCAAATCGCACAACGTCGGCCCACTCCGGTGAACACGCAATTCAGATCGTCGTTTCATGTTGATGGAAGGACTCAAACCTGTGCAGGAGCACGAGGGATGTTGCAGCCCATGCGGAAGAAACACCCAAGTCCTCCGTAATTTACCACAAACTGGGGCCCGAAGCACTGATAAAAGGCGTATATTTAGAGCAGCAGCCTCTCTTTTGGATCATTACGCTCAACGCTAGTTGTTTCCTGCAGGTAATTATTCAATGTGCACAAATGAACTATTCGATAACCAAGCGGCTGAATGTGGAAAGGCTAAACGGACGAACCTCCGCCGCGGCTGAGCAAGACAAATCCGATAACTATTTATGGACCGAAGAAAGAAAATGGTGTGGGCTGAAGTTTGAAAAAGGTATCCAAGGCTTCAGGATCAAAGGACAGCCTTCCCACTGTTGGTCATCCTAATCTTCAAGAGACGAGGAGTGCGACTTCATGCTGAAAGGGCGTCTGATGCATGATCCCTGGCACGGCATCACCCCTGATTCTTGTCTTGGCCCCATACTCCATACTCCCTCGTCGACACGGCGGATATCTAGAACTCCGTCAATCCGCGCAACAGCGTCCTTTGGCCGAGGTTGAACCAGGCAGACGGTCCGTTGATGACAGGTTTCCGATACCAGAGCGTGTCAGTTAACATAACATAGGTATGGTGGTACCTGGCACGTACATGCAGCAGGATAGAGGATCATGTCGGGCCAGCCCCCCTTGCGCCCAGCCGGAGCTTGAGGAGGCCGATAAATATATTTAGGTGTGTAGAACATGTAGGGCTGGGCGAAGTCGCCAGCTTAAACGAGTCCATAGCTAAGAAGTCTGGTCGAGAGTCAAAGAGCCTGTTTAAGATCTCCTTTCTTCTCTGCCTTTTCTTCCTCCGCGACGGAGATCGAAGTTTCTGATTATTGTTTTTCCTTCGCCGCTCTTGTCGTCTCTCTCACTCTCTCTGTGGCCACCAAAGCAACAACTTCTGCGGCTTCTACACTTCCGTTTCCACAGCTTCACGAGAGAGACGTCGAGTCTTTGCATTCTTTCTGGCGGTCCTGAAAGCTGGCACTGTGTACTGTATACGAAGGCGTCGGACTGGGCGCTGCGAATCGCCCTATGGACCCGTTGGTCTCGCAGCTCCTGTTCTCCTGAACCGTTTTTTTTACTCCACTCGCTCCCTGCGTACGACCGCCGGACCAATTCCCAAAAGCCTTGCGGAAGGCTTGACAGCGGACCATATTTATCACTGTGGGTGATCTGGCGTTTCTCTTCTTCTGTCTGTTGTGCTCTTCTGGCCTGTCCGTACCTCGTCGTTTGGCTCTATTTGCATCTTTAAAGCAACACTTTTTTTCCTCTCTCTCCTTCGGCACACATCGGCTGACCCGGTTCCCTCGCAGCCAGCATCGATCTTATTAGAAGAGAAAATAAAGGGACGAAAGAGTGACAGGGAAAAAAAGAAGTAGAAACTGGATGACCGTACTCTATGATACATCTAAGAAGTTAACAAGTCACCATGGCTGTGGTTCAGTTTGGAAGTGAAGATGAGTCGAACGTCTCGAAGCCACCAAAGCGCATGCGATGGGCAACTCAACGCCGTACCGGCCGCCAGGGCTCGAAAAAACGGACTTCTATCATGGACAAACTTCACCAGAGAGCAGGTTCTAAGGATGAGAAGCGAAGGTCTAACGCCAGCAGCCTCCCAAATGGCAGTGCGCCGTCTGAGGCTTCGGATGAGGCGGATAGACGACGGATATATGTTAACGTACCGCCTCCTCCTCATCAGAGAGATGAGAATGGCAAGTCGACGATAACTTTTGGACGCAACAAGATTCGGACGGCCAAGTATACTCCTCTCAGTTTCGTCCCGAAGAACCTATACTACCAATTCCACAATATGGCAAACGTCTACTTCTTGTTCACCATCATCCTCAGTGTTAGTCCTGTCAACCCCTTTCACTTGCTGTTTCATTGAATACACTAACATGTACTCCACTTCAGATTTTCTCCTTTTTCGGTGCGTCAAACCCTGGCCTGGGAGCAGTGCCGTTGATCTCCATTGTCACGGTAACCGCATTGAAAGACGGCATCGAGGACTGGCGAAGGACCGTACTGGACAACGATCTGAACAATTCGCCCATTCATCGCCTAGTGGGCTGGAACAACGTCAATTCTACCGAGGATAATGTATCGCTATGGCGTCGGATTAAAAAGGCGACAACAAGGGGCATACGACAGGCCTGGAAATGGTTCAAACGCGTTAGAAAGGGCGAAAAGGCGGAACCCAAGCCTGTCGTGGAGGATACGCCGCGAATGTCTATTGCTACCCAGAGACCAGAGTTCCGGAATTCGACCTACTCCTACAGACCGTCCTACCATGCGGACCGCTCTGGGAATGAGAGTGAGGATATCCAGATGACTCCTCTCCCATCTCCAGGCGTCTATGCAAATGGGAAATCCGAACAACCCGCCCCTCCTCCGTTCAACGGAGCTACGCAAAATTCGCCTCCATCAAAGTTCCACGGAAGTCTTATCAATAAATCATGGCAACCAAGCGGATCCGCTAGATTCAAGCGTGATTACTGGAAGAATGTAGAAGTGGGTGACTTTATTCGAATATACAACGGAGAGCAGATCCCCGCCGATGTGGTAATTCTGTCCACTTCAGATCCAGACGGCGGTTGCTATGTGGAAACTAAGAACCTCGACGGAGAGACGAACTTGAAAGTCAGACAAGCACTTCACTGTGGGCGTGCTGTCAAACATGCGAGGGACTGCGAGCGAGCCCAGTTCGTGATCGAGAGCGAGCAACCGCATCCCAACCTTTATCAATATAGCGGTACAATCAAGTGGTCGCAAGCTAACCCTGATTATCCGGATTCCCCTGAAAAGGAGATGGTAGAAGCAATCACCATCAACAACGTCTTGCTTCGTGGCTGTAACTTGCGAAATACGGAATGGGTTCTTGCAGTTGTCATCTTTACCGGCCTGCAAACGAAGATTATGCTCAATACTGGTATAAGCCCGCGGAAGACTGCTCGACTGGCAAAAGATCTCAACTGGAATGTTATTTATAACTTCATCATACTCTTCGCCATGTGCCTTACGTCCGGTATTGTCCAAGGAGCAACTTGGGCTCAGGGTAACAATTCGTTAGATTGGTTCGAATTTGGATCCTATGGCGGCAAACCAAGTGTTGATGGAATCATTACATTCTGGGCATCCCTTATCCTGTTCCAGAATTTGGTCCCGATTTCGCTCTTTGTCTCACTCGAAATCATTCGTACGCTTCAGGCCGTCTTCATTCATAGTGATACCTTTATGTATTATGAAAGGCTGGAGTACCCTTGTACGCCAAAATCTTGGAATATCTCTGATGATCTAGGCCAGATCGAGTACATCTTCTCTGACAAAACTGGAACATTGACTCAAAATATCATGGAGTTCAAGAAATGCACGATTAATGGAGTCACATATGGCGAGGCCTACACGGAAGCGCAGGCTGGCATGCAACGTAGACAGGGAATCAATGTGGAGGAAGTGGCCAGAAAAGCAAAGGCAGAAATAGCAAAGTCTCGAGATTCAATGCTTAAGCAGCTCAGGGCGATCCACGACAACCCATACCTTCACGACGATGAGCTAACGTTCGTGTCTTCAGCCTTCGTCTCTGATCTCACCGGCTCATCTGGGGAAGAACAAAAGAACGCTGTCACTAACTTTATGATTGCTCTCGCCTTATGCCATTCTGTTATTACTGAACGTACCCCAGGTGACCCGCCTAGGATCGATTTCAAGGCTCAATCCCCAGATGAAGCCGCGCTTGTAGCTACTGCGCGAGATTGTGGCTTCACTGTCCTGGGACGATCTGGTGATGATATCCGATTAAACGTTATGGGCGAGGAGCGACGATACACTGTTCTAAACACTCTAGAGTTTAACTCCACCAGAAAGCGCATGAGCGCCATTATTAGAATGCCTGGTGGTAAAATAATATTATTCTGCAAGGGCGCTGACAGTATAATATATTCTCGACTTTCCCGTGGTAAGCAAGCTGAACTTAGGAAGAATACTGCAAGCCAACTTGAAGTCTTTGCAAGGGAAGGTCTCCGAACGCTCTGCGTTGGGCAGCGCGTCCTCTCCGAAGAGGAGTACCAGAACTGGAATAAGACCTATGAGGACGCTGCCCAGGCCATCCATGACCGTGATGAAAAGCTTGAGGAGGCAGCAAGTGCCATCGAGCGAGAGCTCACCCTAATCGGCGGAACCGCTATTGAGGATCGACTACAAGATGGAGTTCCAGACACCATTTCCTTGCTCGGCGCTGCAGGCATTAAGCTGTGGGTTCTAACAGGAGACAAGGTTGAAACCGCTATTAACATCGGCTTCTCTTGCAACCTGCTAGCCAGCGATATGGAGCTAATCATCTTCAATATCGATCCGGATGACATAGATGCAGCTACTACGGAGCTAGATAACCACCTAGCGAACTTCAATCTCACAGGTTCGGATGAGGAGCTTCTAGCGGCTCAAAAGAACCATGAGCCTCCAGCTGCCACTCATGCACTTGTCATTGATGGAGACACTCTTAAACTGATGTTAAGTGATAAACTAAAGCAAAAGTTCCTTCTGTTGTGCAAGCAATGCAAATCAGTCATCTGTTGCCGAGTTAGCCCTGCCCAGAAGGCCCAGGTTGTTAAAATGGTGAAGGATGGCCTGAAAGTAATGGCTCTCTCCGTCGGAGATGGGGCCAACGATGTTTCTATGATCCAAGAAGCTGATGTCGGCGTTGGTATTGCGGGCGAAGAAGGAAGACAAGCTGTCATGTCATCGGATTATGCTATTGGACAGTTCCGGTTCTTGCAGCGCTTAATTCTTGTGCATGGACGATGGTCGTATCGTCGTCTGGCAGAGACCCTTGCGAATTTCTTCTATAAGGTATGTCTCTTCCTTCTAACTAATGGAACATCTCTTTTTAACTATTAAATAGAATCTCGTCTGGACGTTCTCCCTCTTTTGGTATTCCATTTATAACAACTTCGATAGTTCGTACCTTTTTGATGGCACATACATCATCCTGGTCAACCTTGCGTTCACCTCGTTACCTGTTATCTTATTGGGTATACTTGACCAGGACGTTGACGATAAAGTGTCACTTGCGGTTCCACAACTTTACAAGACAGGTATCGAGCAGAAGGAGTGGGGCCGCACGAAGTTCTGGTATGCCTTCTCGTCCTTTTACAAATCTTAGTGTCCGCCTTCTCTAACCTTTTTGCAGGCTCTACATGCTGGATGGACTATATCAGTCTGTAATATGCTTCTTTATGACATATCTACTCTTCCGTCCGGGCCAAAACGTTAGCGAAAACGGCCTTGACCTCAGTGACCGCACTCGAATGGGGGTTTATGTCGCCTCTTGCGCAATTGTATGCAGCAACACCTACGTGTTACTTAATACCTACCGTTGGGATTGGTTGACTGTTCTGATCAATGTCGTGAGCTCGCTCCTTCTTTGGTTCTGGACCGGTGTATACTCCGCCACGACATCATCGGGCCAATTCTATAAGGCCGGATCTGAAGTGTACGGAAGTCTTTCATTCTGGGCCCTTACCTTTGTGACTGTTGTCATGTGCCTAGGACCACGATTCACGATCAAATCAATGCAAAAGATCTATGCTCCTCGTGATGTCGACATTGTCCGTGAACAAGTGACACTTGGAAAATATAAGTACCTAGAGAAATATGAGGCTTACGTTCCGCCATCGCACACATTCGCACATGCCTCTGAAAATATGCAAGGTACGAAAGCAGCTCCAAAGCGAGATCCGAATCAGCCCGAAGAGGAACGTCCAATATATCCCCCTTCTGTTGCGCCAACTGCAACGACCCACAACCCACGCAGCCAAAATGGCAGTGACACAACTGCGTATACGGCAAGCCTGGATCTCCGACCCCCAGCTCACCAGTCGCTAGACCGAGAACGTGAACCACCGCGGGAACGTGTAAGGCCGTCGATAGACCGATGCAGATCCTCGGTGGACCGAGTAAGGTCAAGTTTCGAGGCCAACAGCGACTTTACCTCTGCGGCGATGTTAGCCCGGATCGAATCTAGCCATATTAGAGGCGACCCGAACGGCCATCCTGCAATACAAGAACACTAAGTGTATATATACAATCCACGGTCCCTGTGGACTGGCACATACGCACTACTCCCCCTAATTTCCGACAACCCGATTCAATGCGCGCACGTATCACGACTTTCCATAATTTTTCTTATACGGCTTTACTCTCTATAATTCGAAATATCAGCAATCTCCGATACCATTTCCCGTTTTGTGCTCCTAAGCGCATTTTTACCGACTTTGTTGCATTTTCAGCTCTTCATCCAGCTTTTCTGCGTTTCATTAAGGCGTTTTGCAGTTCGGTCTTTGGCTATGTCACCTCATACTCACTCGCATGATATCACTTTCCTTTTCCTTTCCTTTTGTCCCCTATGTTGTAATTCTACCCCCCTGAGTGCGAAAAGCAAATAATTCCTCGTTATATTTTCCGTGCTATACCCATCTGCTCTTGGTCTTTAGGCTGCCTTTTTGTATAAAGATATCGTCCACCGAGAGAATACCCTTCACTTGTCTCGGGGGAGAACTGGTCCTCTCTATACCTTAAGCAAAAGGCACCAGTTCGAGTCTTGTTTTCCTGCTTCTCTGTTTTGCAGTTTGCTTCTACATATTCCCATGCTGATTATAACTATTCGTATGCCCTTGAAAGGCAGCAGTGCAAGACATAGAAAACAAGTATATATTTCTGATTATATCATTGTTCATAGATTAACTATAAGCCAGTAGACTAATAAATATTAATAAAGTGATTTTTATTATATGCAGCAAGCTTGGTTGTTTAGTTAATTAAATCTTTAAGCGCCAAAATATTGAAAATTGCTAGTTATCGGCCTTATCGCACACCAAACGCACTTCTGCCCTTTTTTTCACTACAACTCATAGACTTCTTCTTCTTCCTGTTATTATTACTATTTTGTTTCTTGGACTATTCGTTTAAACCTTAGATGTTCAACTAATGTGAGAGCCGCCCTTGTCTAACAGTACCTGTCCTACTGGTTTGTGCTCGGCCTGTGGTATATTTGAACCATTGAACTTCCAACAGGCCGGAACACGAAGCCGGAAATACGGGACGAATATAACTGATACCGCTCAGAGGAAACGATTCACCCCGTGGCCGACGCGTTTAGGACGGGTTTGAAGCTCTACAGAGTGTCGATGACGGCCGACAGGTCAACGGGGGTGAAACGATGGCGGAGTTAATGAATGCTCTCGAGTTGGTCCCATTCCCATTTATATTTGCCCTCTATGGCTGCTATATTCTCGAGGAATATGTCTTGTCTAATACTTTGCCTTTCTCTATACTAGGGAGCTGAAGAGTCTGCCGGAAGAGCTTCATCTTCTCTGTCCACGTAAAAATGACGATGATATGGAACAGTACAGCAAATACATCGATAACGAAAACAAGAATAATGAACTCGATGTTAAGCCGAGCGTTGAAGTGCTAGAGAGGATATCAGAAGCCGCTGTCCGTCGAGAGAAGTTCCTCTCATGTATACAGCTACTGGCTTTCAGCGGCGAGGAGGTTGAAGTACACCAGCAATGGATATGGAGGCGTCTCGAGGGGACATTAGAAAGATGTGATATCTGCATCAAAGAGTATTACAAGGGGAAAATATGGCTAATCGGAACCCTGGGTGAAAGCTACGATGAGTCTGAAGTGGAAAAATTCAGTAAAATGCTTGACGATTGGGATATTAGCAGGGTTGGGAGGAACTTGGATAAGGCTGCCAGTATGCTCAGAAGTGTTCCCCCTGAACGGCGTAAGCTAAGCGTGCTTGACCGGGCCGCTATGCTGTCTATTTTTGAAGCGCTAAGCTCTACTCCCGTCCTGGGGAATGAGAATGTTCTTCGCGAGCATTTTGACGAGCCCTTTAAATTGGTGCAAAGTTTGCGCACTTTAAAGATAACCGAATATGTGCCTGCGGCGACACGGTTCCTTTTTGACCAAGTTCAGCATAGAAACCACTGGGCGGTGTTTACATGGTCAAGGCTAGGTCGAGCACCGACGACCTCGGAATTCGACTGGGCAATCAAAGAGCCATTGCTCGCGGCTTTACGTCGGGCGTCGAGCCCCCCGTTTGACGCTGACTTCGTTGATACATTATGGCGCGGAATCACCATCATAATTGAAAGACTTAATAAAGACCAAATCACGCACAACCTTCGAGGCCTTGAGCTCGATCCTTGCCGGCTGTCTGTTGATCATCTAGCTATCCAATCTCCAGCTTTACGATCTGTTATCAACACAATACATGCTCTCCTAGAAAAATCTCCGGGTGATTTCTGGGATGCTATGCAAACCATCTCACCGCAAGCAATCATCGAACAGATATTTTATAATCCACAATACGAAAAGTTTTTGATTGCCACCGATAATGACGAGCCCTTGGCTCAGTCACCTTTGAGAGATATGCTATCCTGGATAGATCCGTTTATTACATCCCTAAAGAATACCCACCAGCCGCAGGCATGTCGCTTTCTAGTCCATCAGCTTCTCAATCGCCTTCAGGAGCCGCGATTCCCTACCATCGTCAAATACCATTGCTTTCGGAGTGGACTGACGGTGCTATACCGTACTCTACGAAGTTTTACAGATAATGAAGACACGAGAGGCTCAGTGGCCACTATTGTCTTATCGGAATGATGGAAGTATAAGTGATGACATTAAACATTTCCTCAGCCCTCCACGATTTGACGTCGATGGAAGTGACGCAGAA